ATTTCTTCGAAGTCAAATTACACAACTTGTCAATTCTTGTACCAACATTACCTCAGAAACTAATGCATCAAAGTCAATAATCGAGAAATCCTCCATCTCTGCTGCCATTAAAGTGCTTGAACAAACAAATGAAATATTTGAAGACATGCAACTATATTTGTTCTCCACCAAGCTTTTCGAGGATCCAACGAAACGAGAAATTTTTATGTCGATTTGCCCTGAACGACGAGCACTTTATCTTCGTTATTGCTATGGAAATCAAGACACAAGAGCTTCAGAGTTTCATACAGTTTAACAATCAATGACTTTGTTTTTTCTTTATTGATCTTTGTAAAATGAACATTCTGTAGTATGTACATATCTGAACTGTTTTACTACTGTTTTTTTTTAACACTTAGCAGAGACTTGTTTGTTCCTAGCAATTGTGTTTGTATTTTCTTTATTGATCTTATATAGATTTGTAGAGTATGATACATTATCTTGGATGCTTATGTAATCTTGACTGGCGGCTCAAAAGTGCACGATCATTTCCTTATCAATTACTAGCATGATAACTACCTGTTGACAAAAAATGCACCCAAAGAGTCAAATTAAACTTCGTTGGATGGCCATAATTATATATATAAGAACTTAAAATCTTACTGGATCAACTTGAGGATATATTTTCTTCTTGCATGATTCATCTAAGCATTGCTTACGCCTTCCAGCATCTATGGGAACCGTGATGGATCCACAATGGCTACAGAATCGAGAAGTTTTATGCCAATCCAGCGAAGTTTGTGTTATTATTCTTGTTGAGATTTACGGGAAGTTTGTTGTTATGCTCATGATCTCCTTCTGGATGCCAACTATATGCAATTTTTTAAAAATTTGTTAGCCTAACATGTTTTTTATTTCTAAGCAGCATGTTATTTGAGTAAGGTTTGTGCAAATTTTTTTACTATTATAAAGATGATAGTCTGATAAAGATTTTCTGGTGGTTGTAAATTTTGATAGCATGTGAAGTGTTTATATAAATAAGATATTAATACTTATTGCAAACTATATGCAGGAATATGGAATGTAATGAGAATAGAAATGAGTCAGCCGATATTGCAAATATAAAAAAGACTATACTTGCAGCAATATGTTTTATAAATGAGTATTATGAAACATATATTTGCAAGACACCGTGCATGATATCATCATACAGAGGAGACAAATGGATTGGAGAGCTGCTACAAGGTCATCCAACGAGATTTCATAATATGTTTCGTATGTCTCAAGCAATTTTTTTAGATCTATTGAAGGAATTGGAATGTGTTCATGGTCTACATGGATCATCAAGGACAACAAGTAGAGAAGTACTTGCGATGACTTTATATATTTTATCGCATAATGAATCAATAAGGTCCACATGTGAGCGGTTTCAACACTCAATCGAGACAGTAAGTAGGTATTTCTCTATTGGATTGGAGGCTTTGGTAAAATTATCATGTTCTGTGATCAAGCCTATAGATCCGAAATTTTGTGATATTCCAAGGAATATTTTATATGATAATCGATATATGCCGTATTTCAAGGTAATTTTTTTATTATCATATTATATGATTTGTTTAATATATATAATATCTAATCATAGCTTCTTAAATAGGACTGTATTGGAGCTATCGATGGAACACATGTGGATGCTCGTGTTTCAAATTCTGAGAAAGCGGCTTATATAGGAAGATGTGGGTCAACGACGCAAAATGTTATGGCTGTGTGTGACTTCAACATGTGCTTTACTTTTATCATGGCAGGATGGGAAGGAAGTGCACATGATAGTCGTATTTTTAAATTTGCTACTCGTAATAGACGAAATAACTTTCCCATGCCACCTCCCGGTACGTTCTATATAGTTGCTAGGTTATTAGTGGTAAAACGTATACTAAATTACAAATACTTTATAACAGGAAAATATTATCTTGTCGATGCTGGTTATCCAATGCAACGGGGATTTTTAAAGCCATATCCAGATACCAAATATCATATACCTGACTTTGAAAGAGGAAGCCAATTAGTACGGGGAAGGCAAGAAACTTTTAACAAACGACATTCCTCATTAAGAGGCGTAATTGAAAGATCATTTGGTGTTTGGAAGAAAAAGTGGGTCATACTACGAGATATGCCTGCATATTCATTCAAAAAACAAATAAAAATAGTGATTGCAACAATGGCATTGCATAATTACATACGTCGACATCCCACTCGAGAAGACCCAGAATTCAATATATGTGATGCAGACATAACATATATACCAGAAGAGGCATATGAGTATAGAATTGGACAATCATTAGTAGAGACTGAAGATAATGGTTATAGTCAGGAGGCACGAGATGGTGAAGGTGCGGATGAGATGATCCATTTGCGAGAGAAAATCACAGATGAATTGATGGAGAGATGAATTAGGAAGTTTCATATGTTTGAAAGCATGTTCAGTATTATTTGATTAAGTTTGTGAAATAAGATTGTTGCCCTTTAGCCTTGTTATGTTTTTCAAACATTAGCTTTGTTTTTCAAACATTAGCAGTAGCTGCCTTAGAAGAGCTTTAGCCTTGTTATGTTTGGGAGCTCATGCAATTAACAATTAATTCCTAGGATGTTTAAGGCCATTAAGATTGTTGGCCTTTAGTAGTTGACAAACCACAGCATTGATGCATTGTTGCCCTGTGATCATTGAAGTTTTTGTTACGACATTTCCTTGGATGTG